CCATCATCAGGAATTAACCATGTTAGTTTCCAGGGGGAAACGGCGAGGAAGTCGACCTATATTGCTAGCAGTGGGATTCTTAGTCTCCATTACTAACAATCCCTTTCCCCAATGTATCGATTATAAATGTACAAATCTTTCAAATCCAAAGTATTACTGTAGTCTAACTATTTATTGTATAGTTAGTATTGTAGTTTTATCATTTTTAATCCAAATAGTTATATATAATACTAGCGGCCCGTCCCGGCTTCGCACGGGTGTTCATTTTTACAACATTTTAAAAAGTGGTTATTGTGACATAACAATAATAGTTGGACATATAGTATCGCGAAGTTTTTTGTAGTTATTGATATTTTCTTTAATATTGTAGAACATACTTTTGTTCTATCACCAATAGTTACCGCAGCGCACGCGACGAAAAATATTTTATAGCATTTTTTTGCACCTTGAGTTACGTTACTAAAGTTGTAAGGACCTTTTCTAAAAATAAATAAAGCTTTTGTTACTCAGGAGCTTTCTAATGGTGAAAGAATCTTTGAAATCGGCAAAGGAGTTTTTGAGTTTATTCATTACAAACATACATACACACAAAAATACAAATCTTTCCTCTTTATAATATTAGTGTAGACTGTCGATGAATACGCGTGTCGTGGCGGCCTTTAATTGAGTCAGCGTTTTATAATGTAACCTTATTATAATGTATTTTAAGTAGATATAAATGTATGCTTTGTTGGTTGTCCTTAAATAAATAAATAAAAATAAACAAATATATATATATATATATATATATATAACAATGTAAATTTTGTGTACAATTAAATATAAATAAATAATATAAATAAGGTTGTCAGTTTGGCTGTATTGTCTTTATGTTCGTTACCTCATAATTCCGTCATTTCTTAACCGATTAGGAGAATTTATTTATTTATTTATACTTTATTGCACAATAAAACTTTGTACAAATGGCGATCTTAATACCATATGGCATTCTCTACCAGTTAACCATCGGGTACAAATAGAATTCTTGTTTTTTCTTATCTGAAAGTACTTATAGATTGACCCCATAGATATTTTTATCAAAATCGGCTCAGTAATTTAGTTTCACATCAAAATAATTGGTTTTACCACAATTGAAGTATTTTTTTGTGGGACTTTAATTAGACGAATTTGTCGTTGTATCCGCGCGTTTGTGTTACGTTTCCTCTGTAGTATGTATGTACGTATGGAAACATTTTTCAATATCATACAAATTTTTATATGTTATCGCTTGGTAGTGATTTCTGGTAGACAACCTTATCAAATAAATGAATAATTTACAATGTATTACATGTAGATTGTATAGAATCTATCATATGGGTATATCATGAAGTAGCAGTTATATGGATGTAGCAAACAGAGGCATATTTTCAACGGATTTTTTAAAGATTTGCTATATACTATGTCTCATAATGCTTATATAAATACTTAATAAATATATCATATATATATGATATAGTGTTTTACAATAATTTCCCCCACCGCTACACTTAACCGTGAAGCAGTTGTGTTCGCATGGCTGTGTTTCGGTTTGAAGGGTGGAATATGGCAGTGAATGTACAGGGTACAGAGGAATAACATCTGAGTCCTCAGGAATGGCAACGCATGGGGGGTATCATGGGCGAAACAATATACTCTGTTGTGTCCATGGTACTGCTCATGTCTATAGGTGACGGTTAGCACCTGATGGTAATCAGGTGGGCCGTCAGCTTGTTTGCCATTCTAAGTTGTATAAAAAAAAAACTTAATACACTTTCTGTTTTTACCAAACTATTAGCTGAAAGATGAAATAAGATGTTAAGTGACAATATTATTTATAATAAAGAATAAATAACTTTAAAAAAAAAAATCCCTGTGGAATAATCTATTTAAATATATATTTACTATTAATTTGAAATATATGTATTTAGTATTTAGCGTTGGAAGAACAATTTAAATCTCAATAAAATTCACAATTAAATTGTGCTAAATTGTAAAAAAAAAATAGCGTTCGACGAAATGCGAAACTACCGAGTGATGCACCCAAAATCCAAATGTAAATTTGATCTCAAAAGAAACGGGACATCTTTGTCCCAATTCTGTTATCGATACCGTCGAGATTTACGACTCGATTCCTTTTGTCTTGTCTCTATTACAATCGATACTTGTTATCGATCACGGGATATTATGTCGATTTCACGCCGAATCTCGGTGAAATTAAACCATTGTTTCGTGATTTTTGTACGCTTTAAAAATGCTGAATCAGTTCCTATTGTGACTAGTGCGTTTCTATCGTGAACTTGTATTTTAGTATCTTAAAGCTGAAGTGAAGTGGTCTCTGTTATGTTTTGATCTATTAACGGTATGTTTATACTGTCTCTAAATAGTATTTTTTTTCGATGGGTGAAAGTGGTATGGTAACCCCGCTTGCGCTAACGGAATACGCTGGCGGAGCACCAGTGAAGGGTGATCGATGAGAATGAAAACAGGCCAGCTAGCCCATCATGATGAATTCATCAGGAATTAACCATGATAGTGTCCAGGGGGAACCGCGAAGAGGTCGACCTGGTTGGGTATATTGCTAGCAATGGGATTCTCAGTCTCCATTACTAACAATCCCTTTCCCCTCAATTTGTCTTTAAATAGCGATGGATGCGTGAAACGGAATATCGTCAGTTGTCAAAGATGTCAAATGTCATTAATGCTGTGTTACGATATAGATGTCTCTGTGTGTCCACTTCCTTGTTAAGTGTCTTTTATATCTAATTTATATTTTAAAACAGTTTGCCAACTGCTTTAATCATACTGTATGCACACCTGTCTGGGTTTCAATCTAGTTCATACCATTGTTATCAAATCATCATCATCATCGTAGCAGCCTTTAACTATCTCCTGCTGAATATAGGCTTTCCCTGTAAAAGAGGGTTTTGTCAGTAGTTACCATGCTTGGCAGGCGGGTTGGCAACCGCAATTAGGTTTTGGTAATGTTTTAAGAAGAACGCTGCTGCCCATCCTCGATCATTAATTTCTCGTAGTCATCTTGTACCACATCTACGGGAAAAAATGAGTTGGCCCATTCATTGCCAGGACCACACAGTTTTCACATATGAGTTAAAAATTATTTCATTAACGGACTTATTTCAAAAGAGACAAAACGCAGTCGATTTTTTTTTTGCACATTACATGTTCTCAGTTATATTTACTTGTTATTCTGGATTTAGAGTTAGAAAAAGTAAAATAAAATTGATGTACACGAGTGTCAAGAAATTGTCCTACCTAAATAATCAAAGTACTATAAGTAGATTTCATGATAGATTTTCATTATGCAAATATTGTGTTGCGTTTGATTAGTTGGGAGTTAGTCATTGTTTTGCCGCAATAATTCGAATGCATCACGATAGAGGCACGTGTCATTTAAAATTGACTTTCAGAGAGCGTTCACAAACAGATGCCTGTGCGGATGCGCTGACTTCCTTTGATCAGAACCGAGTTCATTCAAACGATTCTCTGAGAGCGATGCATCGAATCGCCCGAGGCACTCGGTTCGCCAGCACATCTTTTCCATCCGCCGGATTGACGTGCTGCGTTTTAATCAATTAGCGAACAGAAACGCGGTTTACGAATCAGTGGGCAGTGAAATAAGCGGACCGCAGGCCACCGCGGCGCCGAATTTCGGCGCTCTCCGATTTCAAATTTTTTTTGTCCATTCTCGGACGATAACTTCATAATCGGAGCGAAAGTTGCTCGGTTCACTCCTTTTTTAGTTTTTACACTTGGTTTCTTACCGTGGCTAGAGATGGTCATTTGATTATGCCATAGTTCATTTCAATACTCGATAAAAATGTAAACAAATGAAACAAAGTTGACCCAATCATAAGATAGTCTTCTGATGTCCAAAAGCAGAATAAATAAAAAACTTATTTATTTAACGTTTCAATTGATTATTAATTACATTTAAAGAGTGTTTCTATGATATTTTCAGCACTGGGTTAGCTTCTCATTAAGTTTTTTTGCAACATATTCTAAAACCATATGAAGCTGAAAGTTCGTCTCTAACAGTCATTCCATTCCTTGCTGTTTGATTATCAATAGGCTTATCTTCAAGAATTATGTCAATAGATAACAAATTTTGAATAATTGATACATCCAGTTCGATGACTAACGTAATAAGCAATCAATCATTAATCATATGTTGTTTGCGCAACGCTTCGAACGTCCGCTACGATGCCCCCGTTTTGGGGTAATTTTCCTCCTTTTATCGCCTGTATCAGTCTGTATCGGTTTATTACTATATTATTGATGAACGATCGCAATAAAACGATTGTTGCTATCTATAATTTTCTTTTTAATTCAACCTAAATACGGTTTCAAAGTGTCGCCTTTATCATGATTAATTGTATCGATAGTAGATACACCGGAGCAGTCAACTATTGTGTTATTTACACGTGTTACAAGCTCTTTTGACTGTCCGTAGTTTCTAATCGTTATTATGTTATCATTTATTAATCAATTTCATTTTATTAAAAAATCCTTATCAGCAATGGTATAATTAAAATATCTTTTATTTAAAATTAGTTCTTGGCTGTGTTACCATACGTATGGATTTTGAAAGTTGATTAATACCGGCTCGGTTCTCTGTTAATCTGGTGACAAAACACATCGATAAATTATGCTGTTTTGTCGCATTAGAAGAAACAGCAATGAATTAGACTGCTTCTATGTAGCGTATAGAGATGAACCAGACATCTGATTTCAATTTCGAAATTCTCAGGAACGCAACTGTAAATACATCCAATTTGGTGCAGTAATATTTACGTGATCCCGGAACAAACAGACAGATGGAAAGTTCTAAAAAGTCATTACATTATATAGCATATCTATTTTTCTTAGATATCTACTATGTTCGGACTTTGTCAAGTTATAAAATTAATGCTTGCAAATATATAGATTTGATTTTTAACTTTCTTCTTCTCAATTGTCCGCAGAGGAAGCAAACAGTCCCGACAGCGGTGTGAAGGAGCGCGTCGATCGCCAGGAGCGGGGCGAGGGGGAGGGCTCCCGCTCCGTGTCCCCCGCGTCCCGCGCTTCCCCTGCCCCTGATGAGAGGGACGACATCGAGCACAGCATACCGGCGACCCTGATACAGGATCCCAATGCAGAGAGGTGAGCTGACCATAAGAATCTATCGTCATGAATCTACTGCAAACAGCTTTAAATCTTGCATAAAATATATAATAAATAACTTCAAACATTTCAATGGTACACAATATCCTCTCATTTTACTATTCTAACGTTTCGATCAATTTTTATTAAATATCCGCCTAGTCTCTAAATATCTATTCCTTTACAAGAATTAACAACTATTGTGCTAAGTATCAGGAAAGGTTTGGCGTAAACCAATAGCAGCAATCCTCTTACACCCAATTCCCTTAAAAAGATCATTGGAGCCTTATGAATCCTGTATCATCCATTCATACTGCCGGTGGAGCTCTTGCCATTGTCTACGATTCTCAGCGAGTCTCTTCGTCGTATGCGATGCAACACTAACTTTGTTTTTGCTCTGACTAATGTAACTGTCTTTCGATCTTCCCCTTCTCTTCCTTTTTATTATTACTTAAGATTCTATTATAATCTTCAAAAGGTCGTCGTGTCGTATTAAATATCTCAACATTTTATCCCTACATATTTTTTATCTACTGAATTTACCTCTTCTTCTTAATTTTAACTAGGACTTCTTCATTACCAACTCGAATCATGTATCAAATGATCTGATAACAGTCTGTTTCAATGAAACTTAGTTTTACCAGAGGTTGTCTTTGTACAGAAATCGTCTGCTTGTGTAACTCTGTCCCATACGTGTTAGTGCCATGAAGCAGTTGTACTTCCATGGCTGCATTTTGGTTTTATAGGTTGGTTATCTCAGTGCAATTACAGGGTAAGTAGGCATAACATCTTAGTCCGCAGGCATGGCAATTCTTGGCGCTTTACATGTCTATAGACGACGATTACTACTACAGGTACACCATCAGTTTCTTTGCCGTTATTGATTGCTTTTAAAAAAGCGAAAAGATATCCAACTAGAGACTAGAGAGTAGTCTAAATAAAATTAATTGATTAATCGATTTTTGATTTGTACTATTATTGGACATCAGCAGACTGTCTTATGGACTATTTATATCTCTCTGTCTTATGTCTGTTTTAAGATATATTGAAATAGGTCATAGATCTATATCTGTAAATAGGTACAATAAATCCTCAAGATACATATATACCTTATGTACCTTGATGCTTTTCTGTGTGAGCGTATTGGAAACTGTAAAGCTCACTCAGTTGATAAAATAAATAAATATATAATTTTATTTATTATATTTCTCTCTGCTTAAACTGTATTTACAATAAAGAGTATTTTTTTTATACAACTTAGAATGGCAAACAAGCTGACGGCCCACCTGATGGAAAGTGGTAACCGTCGCCTATAGACATAAGCAGTAACATGGCCATAACAGAGTATACTGTTTCGCCCATGTTACCCCCCATGCGTTGCCATTCCTGAGGATTCAGGTGTTATTCCTCTGTACCCTCTAAATTCACGCCATATCCCACTCTTCAAACGCTATCTATTTACTGTAGCTCTTCTATTTTGGAAATAAAAAAAAGAAAATTTTTAATAGCAATAATAATTGAAAGGTTTTAAAATATTTTATACTGCCTTTGTGATTCCGTTAATTAATATTACAGTATTTTTTTTTATTCTAACATAACATACTGCAATTACAGTAAATCTATCTGTAGTTTTTAGTCTTAAATCAGTATAGGAGGTGAATTATTACTTATCTTTGATTTATTTATTTATTTATTTTTTTATACAACTTAGAATGGCAAACAAGCTGACGGCCCACCTGATGGAAAGTGGTAACCGTCGCCTATAGACATGAGCAGTACCATGCACATAACAGAGTATACTGTTTCGCCCATGTTACCCCCCCATGCGTTGCCATTCCTGAGGATTCAGGTGTTATTCCTCTGTACCCAGTAAATTCACGCCATATCCCACCCTTCAAACCGAAACACAGCCATGCAAACACAACTGCTTCACGGTTGAAACACGAATGGGACAGAGGTACCCAAGCAATCGACTTTTGTACAAAATCTCCCTCTGGTTTATTAAAATCTATATAGATCTTTAGATATGTCTTATTATACTTGTACTCTTGCGTTTTATTTTTACACTGCGTGACTATTTATTAAAATTAATGCTCAACAATTTATTTATCGTGTCATTATTCTTGTTTCCAAATCCGTATCATTGGAAACTTCGGAAGCCAACAAATCATTGTGCCATAATCTCTTGCTCAATACAACACATTCACCACATTCAAGCTCATTGTCCACGTGACGGCGGTGGTCCGGCCGTCATACGGTGTCCACTTTAACGATCCCATTGTTTCCCATGATCAGTTGTCAACCGTTCCCTGTCAACACACTCGCCTCCTATAAACCACCGAATCGTGGCACAAACGCCACCTCTGTCACAAACGGAATAAAGATCAATTTGAATTGAACGAATCGTAAATGATTGGTGATGTTAGAGAAATGAATGGACAAACGATAGTGACAGTTATAGTGGGTATTGTCTTTAAAAATGATCTAGAATTTCATTTTGACAGTCCATCAATTTTTGTTCTATGCGAGTGATGTAACGCGCCGTCGTTTGGAATAATGTAAAAAGTTTTATTTTTTTTTAATGCTGTTTTATGATCAAGTAATGTTTTTTCTTTATACAACTTAGAATGGCAAACAAGCTGACGGCCCACCTGATGGAATGTGGTAACCGTCGCCTATAGACATGAGCAGTACATAACAGAGTATACTACAATATTTCGCTCCATGCGTTGCCAATCCTGAGGAGTCAGGTGTTATTCCTCTGTACTCAATAAATTCACTGCCATACCCCACCGTTTAAACCGAAACACAGCCATGCAAACACAACTGCTTCACTGTTGAAACACAAATAGGACAGAGGTGGCCAAGCAAACGATTTTTGTAGTAAGTCCCTAAGTCTGTTAATTAAGTTAAATTTAAAGTATGTATATGAATTGAAATAGATAATTGATGTTAACTATTTAAACTATTTATTTATTTGCTTCGTACTGATCTGTCGTTACGTATAAATAGATAAACTATCATCAGACTGCAGATAACATCTGATACGGATGTAGACAAAAATTTTATTAATTAAATACTCTGTGTTTGATTTGAATGATTACGTATTTATCTATTATTAATCATCTTTATTATGGCATCAGTTTTTTTTTTTACATTCAAATAAATTTGAATTCTTTACTATTGAAATTTAAAAGTTACACCCAATTATGTATGTCTTAAAACCTCAATTAGGCATTAATACCACAAGTGTAGCTGTAAAACAAACGTTATTCAATTTTAATGTATGAATGAATGTAACATTATTGTAATGTATGAGTGAAATTATATGTATGTACATAATTGAAATGTGTTCTTTCAAAACGTGAAACATATGGGCAAACACGCCGATGTCTCACCGTGAAGCGTTAAGCCTTCATTGTTTCCCTTCAAGCGTGTTTGTCTCCGCCACAATTTATTATGTTTGATTAATTTTGAAACGCTTTACTAATTGCAGTCCAGTTCGCATTGTTATGTACGGCTGCTTCGTATTAGCACAGATGTTGTGTAGCGATAAATTCAATAAAACTCAAATTGATACTTATTACACGTTGTAAATCATTGTCGCGGATATCATTGTCTATCAATTCAACTAAAACTGCGACGTTACAATTAATGCGAAACAAATACAATATGTACTTTATTATGACTGTCTGCTACAATGGTAACATTATTATCTGGAATATGTCCACGTTCTTATTGTTTGATCTGTTTTATAAAGTTAAAATTATCGAATTCGTTTTTAACGAGCCTTTTATACAAGAGCCATTTATGTTGATTCACACGTGAAATAACATTTTTCTTTAAAAAAAATGTGTAAGGCGCAAAACGATGTTAAATTTTGAGACTTTCTTACTAATTTGATAGTAGACCCCGTGTTTTTTTTTTTTGTTGTTTTTGAACGAATGAGTATGAATGAATACTTTATTTGCATTATACAATATAGGAAATATGAAAGACAATTTACAAACACAACGATACAATTGTATAAGTACAGTAAGGCGGTCTTATTGCTGAGAGCAGTCTTTTCAAGACAACCTTAAGGTAATGGAGTAATTGTTGTACAAGTACGTATGATAGTACTGTATGATAAAGAAAGTACCTTTTTCAACACTTTTGCCAGTGGAATGCGTTATAATGATTTCTATTTTAGTTGGTTTAATGATAAATATAGGTAGTACTATAATAATTTTATTATCGTAACTTAAAACAGAAATAATACGATAAATAGTTTCTGCAACACCTAAAATTCACTTATTGATTAAAAAAGATTTGTGACTATTTATAAGGACTGATAAGTAGATAGTTAATCAATAGATTTTGTATAAAATCGGTGTATATCTAGGTGAACCCGCTACCAAGACAGGTACAATTGTCGTTGCCATATCACTTTTAACTACATCAAAAGCTGCAGCCATGCGAATTTCACCTTTAATACCATTCAATTGTGGATGAGAATGAGGGTTATTGGTAGAATCGTGTGTATAATACGTTTGCTAGGTTTGTTGGATCGCTGTTCCATCACTGTCAATTAGTTGCAGTGAAGACAGTTCATCAATCATAAACACTACAGAGCTCTAGTGTGTTTCCAACCTGAGGGTCCATTGTTTAGATTTTAAATCGATCGAGCTTCGTCTTCCTGTTAAAGTACCTATATTTTAGTTTCTAATATATATCGTCCGAACTAATATTTTTTTTACTAAAGTTATTCTTCCAACGTAATGAATTAAGAGATTTTTGTACACATATGTTATGAGAGCCGTGTAGTCCCGATATAGAATTGAATGTCTATCTATCTATCACATCTCTTCTTTCTCGCGGGTGTCGTAAGAAGCGACTAGGAGGATGGGCAACAGCGTCCCTCTTAAAGCATCACCAAAGCGTGCGGTTACCAATTCGCCGGCCAAGCATGGTAACCATTGGCAATTGCCCCTTATGGGAAGGCCTATGTTCAGCAGTGGACTGTCGATGACTGATAAAATAAGTAATAATAATAATATATTATGACAATGAAAAAATTGTTGTTCTGGAAATATTTTACATATAATGTTAATTTAGGTTATTTTACTACAAAGGAATATTTATTTATTAATTCTTTATTACAACTCTTAAAGAATTGTATAAATACATGTATATACATCTTATGAAGTACAAAAAGCGATCTTACCGATAAAGCAATCTTTTCCAGACAATCTTTGGGTAGATGAGAAAAGACGGTAGCTATTTTGTGCAAGAAGTGTAACTTATATTTATATTAAAAAAAAAAAATTGGTTTTAATAAGTGAAGAAATCCATAGACTTTAAAGTAGGAGCCCCTTACTATCTAGAATTACTTTTGGGTGAGGTAGTCAGATATTAGTCTGCTTATCGAGAGAGCTATTTATCAATATATGATTAGTAAAGTTTTATAATAGAATCGTCGTGAAAATCGTGAATGATTACTTAGATATTAAGTGATTTATTTAACTTACGCAATGCGTATAATTTCAATTGCTGTTAAAAATCACAAACTTTTTTAGTTGTATAATTATGCAACTCATTTTAGTTAATATTATAAGTTACGATCTTGCAACTGATTTAGTGACACCAATTTATATTGACAAACCATTTTTGTTTATTTGTAAATTTGGAAACGGAAGTCAGGACATTGAACTTCTGACTGTGTAGTTGCCCGATTAAAGCATTGAGCAATTCAAATGAAATGTTAACGAATCATTTTCTTTTTTTCGATGCTTGACACTTCCAAGTGGATGTAATTTTTAAATAATCCATTTATTCGTAATAAAGGAAAAACACGAAGATTATGTATTATTGTATAGATGAATCAATATTTTGTTTATTGCAATTATATCTTTGATAATACGCTTATTTCTTTGAACATACAGTTGTTTATCTGCGTCTATATCACATATCGCTCTACTCGTTATCCTATGTCCTTCGTTTAACGGTGCATCTATACTAAATTGATTAGCACTTTAGTATTTTATTGCCTCCAAGACATCTGTGCCGGTTTTCAAAATTCACGTTGTAACTGCGAAATTATTCAAACGGTGTCAGGTGTCCGCGTCCCCTGCGACGCCGGCACGATGCGAAACTAAACTTCGGCGCACATGCCTTCCTCCGTCCCAATTCCAGCAGCACACATCAAAACACGGCCACAGTGTAGAATTTATCGCCCCCACATTGCCACTATGTGAAGCGCTACGGAAAAATAGAGCATGAATATTTTTTGTTTATGTCGCTTAGCATCCCGGCGCGGTTATTTCCGATCGCGTGCATGCTCCTCCTGCGCGAAAGAGAGCACAATACCTGTCACATAAACACAAGTGATTGATTGACCCGCACCCGACTAATGCTTATAGGAAGCTATAAACAGCTGGCGATTTTGTTCCAAACTTTGTTCAAGTTTGTTTGTAATAGGATTTCAATCATGCTTTTCGTCAAATCACGATAGACATTATTATCGCTGAGATGACAGACAAAATTTGGTCCGGCTCGTTTTGTTTGATCTAGGGAAGTTATATACGGCCTCACCGACCGCATTAACGTGTCTCCGTCGTGATTTTATGAAATGATACTCCTGTTGATTGAGACGTTCCTTTGTCGTCTTATTGGACTCTCATCTACGCTTTCCTCGCATTGACGTTTATATTGTCACTCGGAGTGAGTTTGTCGTACCTTACCCTCGTAAAAATAAATAAACCCAAAGAATATTTTCCTTTGTCAAAGCAGGAAATCTGTTCATGATACGCGTAAATCCGTCCTCGTCCCCTGTCTGTCCCGGTGTTGTTAAAAGGACTCGTCTCGGCGTTTTGTTAACGCGCCATTTCCTTGTCAACGCCGTCAACCCCGTCCGGGTAATCTTCTCTAAGCCCCGGAGACTTTCTCGGACGGATAGTGCCGCTGACGCGAGCAAACATATCAACGTAGAGAGAAAATCGTAAACATACTCATTAAAACTATACCGCGCCTATTGGCCGTCAAGGATGTTGTGTACATTTTTCATTGGCGTTACGACTGTGAGTCAGCTATGCGGAGTAGCTTTGCTGTGTCAGGCGGCTGTCATCAGAACGATCGCCCGTCACTGCACGTCCACCTCGCGCATCGCACGCACGCTTGCATTACGCAGCGCACCACCCCTCGAAGCTGAATACGTGTCGCCGTCTCTGTCTGCGCCATTGCACCGGCCGTCTAGGCGGCAGCTGTCTCGTTCTGGCGAGGGGCGTGCGGGGCGGGGGCGCTGCAGGCGGGTCGTAAATCACGCGGTGTCTCATTCCACGCGGGACCGCCGCCGCCGCCGCAGGCACCGCGCACTTCCCTCCCGACCGCCGGTCTCGCGGCGCGTCTTTCGCGACGTGTTTACACTTTCAACCTATTTTTGGGAAGTCACAGTTGTCTTGTTTAAATTGTGTTTTCTTACTAAAAAGTGATATTTGATGGATCCGAGAGTTTTTCGCCACGGTCCGTTTGGGATATATTGAAAAGATTACGTCCAAAATGATCGTCGAGCCCGACCACGTGAGGTAGGTTTTAAATTTGTACAAGTGTTTCATTATTACCTACTAATTTACAATATTGTGTTGAATTTTCCTTTTAATTCAGAATATTTTCATATTTGTTTCAAGTTTTCGTAAGATTTTACTAAGTAATCTTGGACTTAGAATCGTCAGTGCATTCTACTCACTTCGTGTATTTAACTTAATATTTGAATATTTTAATTTAAGGCCTTCAATTTTTTAACAATTTGATGGACAATATTTGAACTATTTTTATGTTATTAAAAAATACGATTACAGTTTAGATCATATTTTACGATCAAAGAAATAAAGCTCTTCTCTGGCTTACAGTGTACTTGAATTTATTGTTATTTTAATAAATATCTGAAATTCGAAATTTTAATAATGAAAAATAAATTTACTTCTAATGATTTCGGTTCGAAGAAATGACAACTTTTCAACAGAATTACAAAGAGTTTGGTTAAAGTTTAAACTGTTCACGTAACGTAAAGACTGTTCAAAACTAAATTAAACAACGATGCAAGTAAAGGCAATATTATGGTTGTCTGAAAGAGATTGCTTAGCAATAAAACCGCCTTTTGTACTACACTAATCGAAAATTCTTCAACAAAACCTGTAATGTTGGTGCAGTAAAGTGTTAAATAAATAAATATGCCAAATATTATAACATTTACTTATTGGATAAGAAATAAGAAGTAACAATCTTATTCAATGCATCTGTTTTCATGTGATTGGTTTTAATTTGATAAAAATGACTGAGTATTTCTTATGTATTTTTTTTTTATAATATTTGTATAATTCTAATTAGAAAAAAAGTCTATTGATAATTTTAATTGTCCCATAAATCGTCGATTAGATGTGTCATTGAATGTTGTATACAGCGCGTTATCTTATCTCTTATTGATTGTGATAAAACTACAATATTGATTTGGTATTTCAATTAACGTTATATCATATACATGTACGTATATTGCATGATTATCATGCACTAATAATATTTGTTCAGGCTCTTCTGATATTTCAGCTTGATTCGACTTTATTGGATTATTAATTGGAATAATACATAGATTAATATATATTTCATTATCATCACGCCATGTATGTTTAATTAATTTTAAATATAAATCACCTGATTTGTCGTCTTTTCACATTATGTTGACAGTAAATGTGGAAAATATGTTTATACCTTTAATAAAAGAGTACATATAGAAATTTGATGACTAATGGGTAATAAAGAGTTGTCGTTCATTGCAGCTGCTGTTGATCAGTTTTTATCGATAAAACTATACGAATATTACTAACAAGTTTTGCATAAATTATTATTATTATATGACATTGTTAAAGTTTGCCAACAAACGAGGAAAATGTGTTAAAATGTTACAACATAAAATTTGTTTACTATCCATCGGTATTAAAATGCGGAACTGGTTTGTGTGCTCGAAGTAGCCGACATTTCGGCGTTAAATTAATTATGTCAACCTGACGTCGCGCTTCATTTGTCCACAGGGAGAGCCCGAGATGTCTGTCGCGGGAGTCGTCGGGTGCTCCGCGATGTCCCTCCAATGACTCGGTGTACTCCGGGCGTAGCGGGCCGGGCCTCCCCCTCCCCGCCGCACTGACGGCCGCCCTGCCCGCCGCATTGCCTGCTGCACTCCTCCCCCCGCATTCTGCAGCTGTCGCCGCCTACCTGGGCGCCGCAGCCGCGGCCGCGGCGCAGCAACGACTCTTCATGTCGTGTCAAGATGACATGACCGATTCCGAACGAGCTGATGCTGTTTTGGATTTCAGCACCAAGCGGAGTGATTCACCACACGACGACGAAGACGCTGACGATGCGGTAAATCTCAGCAAAAATGAGAATGGTCCTTTGGATTTGTCGGTAGGCACGAGAAAACGGGGGCCGGAGGATTCACCATCTCCGGTCCCAACGAGGAAGAGTTCTCGGTCTGTAGATTTTAAACCATCTCCATCACCATGGACAACACCTGTAGCACCTCATTTGCCATATTTTGCAGCGGCTGTGGCTGCGGCGAGCTTATCTCCGAAAGGTGGGGTACCCGCTGATTGGAATGGTAAACTAAAACATGGAGCGCCGACACCGAGTGATGCGACGAAAGCGCTGGAAAAGATGAGCGAGCTTAGTAGATTGGGTGGTGAGGAACTTTTTCGATCTGTACAGAGTGCGGCATTGGGTGCTGGTCTAGCTCCAAACGCAGCAGCCAGACATTCTGCTTGGCAATCGCATTGGCTCAATAAAGGTGCAGACCAAACGAAAGATGTTCTCAAATGTGTATGGTGTAAGAAGAGCTTTAATTCTCTTGCAGACCTGACAGTTCATATGAAAGAAGCCAAGCATTGCGGAGTCAACGTGCCTGTACCTCCGGTAACAGGTGCGCCGATTCCCTCTTCTTTACAGCCACCATCTAGTTCACCTTCAACTCCATCTCATAATTCATCTTCCTCTAGTAGCTCTTCGAAACCAAACCAGAGCGATCTGAATATGCTAATAAAAGAGAATATGCCGATTCCTAGAAAGTTAGTTCGAGGTCAAGATGTGTGGTTAGGTAAAGGAGCTGAGCAAACTAGGCAAATACTAAAATGCATGTGGTGTGCAGAAAGCTTCCGTTCGCTGGCCGAAATGACCAGCCACATGCAACGAACTCAACACTATACGAACATTATTTCACAAGAACAGATTATATCGTGGAAGTCTTCCGACGAAGCAAAAGGTTCTAATTCTAGCGGCCCAGGGGCAAACAATGCGGTTCCCCCCACTACAGGTACAAGTAGTCACGTTAGCGCTGTATTAACTTGTAAGGTATGCGATCAAGCTTTTAGTTCTTTGAAAGAATTGAGTAATCATATGGTCAAAAATTCACATTACAAAGAGCACATCATGCGATCTATTACGGAAAGTGGTGGTAGGCGGCGCCAAACCCGCGAAAAGAGGAAGAAATCGTTACCAGTTAGGAAACTTCTTGAGTTAGAAAGAGCACAGCATGAGTTCAAAAATGGGGAGGGCAATGGTGTTCCTATGGGAAAACCTATTAGGGACTTCGGTACAGGAAGTCGTATTACTTGCGAAAAATGCGGTGATAAAATTGAGACTGCTGTATTTGTCGAGCACATACGACAATGTATAGGCGCGCCTATGTCAAATAGCCAAAGGAATTTTTTGAAGAGTGCACTTCTTTCGAATAATATTCCCATTCCTCCCGATGTACCTGGACATGTTACACCGACGGGTCGCGATGGTCGCAAAAGTATTAATGAGGAATTACCGTCTCCTGGTTCAGCTCACCATCGGTCTCCTTCTTCCGTGAATGATTCTTCCCCTAGTTCCAAAGATCCCAATGCTAGTAATGATAAAAGTTCGTCGCCATCGGTTCTCAATGCCATAGAACAATTGATAGAAAAGAGTTTCGATACTCGATCGCGACATTCTGTTCCGGGAATGCCAGGCGGGGCATCACATGCGCCCATCGGTTCTAGTATTTTGAAAAGATTAGGAATAGATGAGAGTGTAGACTATACGAAACCATTAGTAGATCCGCAAACAATGAGCATGTTGAGGAACTATCATCACCAGCAAGGTTACGGTCGGCGCGAGCGTAGTGGCAGTGAATCTAGTTCGATGTCGGAGAGAGGCGGTAGTAGAGTCGAATCTCTTACTCCTGATAGGAAATTAGATGCGTATCACATGACTCCACGTACTACGCCAGATACACGGGGTTCTCAAACCCCTGCTTCTGAGGATCGTCCCAATGAAGTGCGAATAAAAAGAGAAGTCACCGAAGAGGAGGATCGCGAAAATGGGGTAGATCTAAGCAGTCAGCCGGTGCGAGTAAAGACTGAGGTCGATGAAGATGAGGAACCTCCGCGGCCGGGAAGCTCGAACGAGGAGGAAATGAAAGCGGTTCCAAAACGCGAAAGCGAGGGTCCCAGCCCTGCTGCTAGTCCTCGCAGCCCAGCTAGCGATCGCTCAGCTCACACTCCTGGTGCCGATAGAAAGCCGGCTTCCAGTTTAGGCGCGTTGTCTTCTATGTTCGACAATTTAGCCAGCGGTGGCTCGTCTAATGAACCGAGTTCGTCCCGTCGTAGCGGCAGTCACCCATTAGCGGCACTTCAGAAGTTATGTGACAAAACCGAGAATAATCCATCTCGAGCTCCGGCGCCGGCGCCTTCTCCGGCCGGTCCGCCAAGCATTCTCACGTTTAGCTGGGCTTGTAACGATGCGGTAGTCACGGACTCGATAATGAAGTGCGCTCTTTGCGACACACCGTTTATTTCGAAGGGCGCGTATCGACATCACCTCTCAAAAATGCATTTCGTGAAAGATGGAGCGCTACCGGAACCGGTGCCGATGAAGGCGCCCCCAGCGGCCGCGTCGCCGGGCACTCACAAGAGTGGCGGCTCTAACACTGCCTCGCCGCAGGACCCTCGGAGTCCTTCTCAGTCTTTCGACGAGAGTCCCCATTCCAAGTTCCTCAAGTACACCGAACTTGCGAAGCAGCTATCCAGTAAATACGTGTAGAATGTACATAGGTCAGCGGGCCATCAATTGTGATGATACCATATCCAGCTACGTTAAACCTTGCTAGGGTTAGGTCGCCGCGGCGGCGCTAAGTATTTCGAAACTCTTTGCCAATTTAATTATTTAGATAATTATTGTTAGAATTCACCGCATCGTTCGGTTAGTGTAATTTACGACTAGTGACTTAAGTATACGCCAAACGTCTTACGTTCGTTAGATGTAAGAGAATATTTTCAAAATATTTGCCTTTAGGTGATGTCGACGCGTCGTCGGGGGCCCCCGGGCCGCGCTTATCTTCCACGCTACTCGTAATTCCATTTCGGTAATTGTAAATATAAGTCACATTAAGTCATAAAGTTCGATTCGATCTCTTGTAAATGTATATTTTTTGCTAATAATCTAAAAATGAATACTTAATTTTAATTGCGGTTCGCCTTGCATGTGATTCGATTGGCCGCAACTCGGTCGCGTTGTCGCATTTTCAGTATTGAGAAAATTCGTTGCAATATCTTTTTTTTTTTTTATAGTTACTTAATATTTTTATGTAAATCAGATGTTGAAGTTAAGATTAGAGCGGTTCTTAGTTTATTTCTATGTATATTTTGAAGTTCTCTCGTTTTGCGAAGTGGAGCGTCGGTGCATGTAATCTCGGAGATCCAATCTCATTGTTTCAGTTCGTGGTGTACATACGAATCGACATAGGACGCAATACTATGTCCTTAGTGTAAATTTGCTCTAGGTACGCTCTCCCTGTGAGGTGGCTATTTATTATTTAGTGTTAAGTACATAATTTTAGGTGACCTATGTCTGTGAACACTTGTATACCATTGTATCATCGCATTACGATTGGTTGTCCGAACCAATATATTTAAAAGTGATATGAATATGTTATACCTGTTTTTTCTTTGAAAAGGATTTACTACAGAAGTATACGTTTAGAATTCAAGTGTATTGAATCTTCCAGTGAAACGACAGATATACGATGTGTATATACGGTACAAGCGAGTGTAAACTCTTTTATATTTAATAAAAAAAAATATTGTAAACGACTAATGTAAGACGATATCAATCAGTGAAGCAAATGTGTACTGTACATTGGTCGCGTGGGACGCAAACGTGGATGGCTATAATCACATCCCTAAACTGGTGCCATTCGTGTTAGATCGCCTTCAAAAGATGGCACTACGAATTGCAGTTTCCATTCCACATTTGCGTCAAATCCGACCAGTTCAATACAAAGTTTAAATGAATAACTATCATTTTATCTATAATGAAAACATACGACAAATATTATGTATACGCTAGCTCTGATGAGAGATTTTTGCTCATTCTTTAATAAAAAAAAAAAAAAATGGTGTTGAAAATATTGATTTTACCAAATTTAATAATCTTATTTAATATTTTATGTTGTATTTCAAAATGCAATTAAAAGCTCAAAGAAATATATATGTTACATACTTTAAAATGTTTATTTTATTTACTGAAGTCCCTAATAGGTGTTATAATCCCAAGATTGATAAAATAAGTTTGGTATTCAATGATAACAGGTAGGTAGTGTTTAAGGAAATCAGTGGAAGCAGGTTTCAATGAAATATATGTTTCCTATGATAGTTATATTAATTTATTTGCAAAAAATATAATACTTACCAATTTACTGGTAAATTTTTTACAGTTTTCCATAATAATTTATTGAGAAAGGTCTATGTTGAACAGTGGCCAATATATTGAAATTATAGTGGTAAAGAAAGACAGATTTATTGTAAAACATTCAAATGATTAGAATAAAAAAAAAAGTAATAAATCGCTAAAAAAATATAAATTACAAATCTGTCAATTGATTTACTAACTAGTTTGTTATCAATATTTTCTATTATCGGAGAGTTTCAAATTAAATTCGCATTAAACGTTATAGCTTCTCATAATTGTAAATGTTCGTTAATTGTAAATAAAAGTCATAAAGTTCGATTCGTGCTCTTGTAAATGTTTATTTTTTGTAAATAATCTAAAAATGAATATTTAATTTTAATTAATTTATTAATTAACTAGCATTAACTGCTAACAGTTATCACAATCTGAACTGTCTATCTAAATAGATGTAGATTTAACGTTACAATAAATAGTTACTTTAGTAGTGATAAAATTAATATTGAATAGTAAATGAACAACTTATTCAATTCATTATTTACCAGAGGGAGACTTTGTACAAAAGTCGATTGCTTGGGTACCTCTGTCCCATTCGTGTTTCAACCGTGAAGCAGTTGTGTTTGCACGGCTGTGTTTCGCTTTGAAGGATGGGATATGGCGTGAATTTACTGGGTACAGAGGAATAACACCTGAGTCCTCAGGAATAGCAACGCATGGGTGGTATCATGGGCGAAACAGTATACTCTATTGTGTCCATGGTACTGCTCATGTCTATAGGCGACGGTTACCACTTTCCATCAGGTGGGCCGTCAGTTTGTTTGCCATTCTAAGTTGTATAAAAAAAAAAAGATGTTTGTTACTCTTTCACCCTAAAACTACTAAACGGATTTGAATGGCATCTGTTACAATGATATGTTATATATCGTTAATACATAGAATATTTTATATACGTACTGATTCCCCAGGCAAACCCGGGTTACAGCTAGTTACGTAATATGTACGCAATATAGCGTTGAAAAATATCTCCTATTTGTAGTCTTTTAAACTACTTCCCGTTACTTGAAGTTTACAATTAAAGGTTGTGCTCGAAAAAAAATCCGTCATTTTGAGCTAAAAATCAAACTACTAAACCGATTTTGATAAAATTTCTACGGAAGCAATCTGTTAGTATATTCTTCTAGACAAAAAAAGAATTTTCCAATTCAGTTTAGAACTGACGGAGTTATGACCTTCTTTTTGAAGTCACATGAAAAATAAGCTTAAAGGACTTGCTCGCCTTTTGTCCATCTCTTTTTATTCTAATAATTATGTATTTACAGGTTCGGTAAGTACAATTAAGTATATATCTATATTAGTATTAAAAATATTTGTTTGTTTTTAACGAACAAACCCAAAAACTACTCAGCTGATTTTAAAAATTCTTTCACCTGAAGAAAACTATTTTTTTTTTAATGGATGATAGAATGGTAACCCTATCTGCGCTAACGGTATACGCTGCCGGGGCACCAGTGAAGAATGATAGGTGAGAATGAAAGCAGGTCTATAGGTAGGTGTATATATATATATATATATATATATATATATATAAATATATAAAAATATATTTCTTTTATTTTATGCCCATTGACATGAACAGTAGCGCTTCGGATATACACAGATATACAAGATATGGTTTTATTTGTGTACCAAATTTCATTCTAACCAGATCAACCACTGAAAGTGTGATTGAACAAAAATTACGAAGTATCAACACACAAATTACCTTAAAAACGTTCATTTATATCAGAACTTCGTAAGGCTCAATTGGTTAACAGAAATATATTAATAGTTACATTGACTTGAAGATATAAATTTTCACAAGTTGAAGACATAAATGAAAATTTAAGGCTTATTTATACTTTTTTGAACTGTCCACTAAGTCTACATGTCGAAAATGTTCTAAACATTCAAATGTCTAAATTATTTTGGATTGCATCTCTGTATGCGTTTAAAATTACATTAATTAATTAATTAATTAATAATTAAACACTAACAAACAAATACCAAGATTTTGAAGTAGTTATTTTAAGGATAAGAAAATAAAGGGCTTTTTTTTATTTTTTATTTCATTTATGCGTTTAAAAACAGAATTTTCATCGCTCCTCCAATCAAACTGTTTATAATCACTCCTCTCCATCCAAAGGTTGCGTGGAAGAGATCGCTATTAGCGATAAGGTCGCCCATTGTTTTCTCATTGTGACTATTTCTTGTAATTGTTTATATTTATAATAAGTTTACTATTGTAATCTTTTGGAGGAAACAATAAAGATAAACCTAAAATTTTTTCTGTCAACATCAATAAATCTACCAGCAACCTTCTAACTGAAGCGAACCAAGTTATCTGTAAAATCATAGCTTGTGTTTATTATTGTTATTACAGTCTTTGTAAATTAATTATTTCCAATTATTTAATAAATAATATGACATAGTAGAGGTGGAAAGGGGTTGTTAGCAATGGAGTTTGACAGCCCCATTGCTAGCAATATGCCCTATCAGGTCGAGCTCCTCGCGGCTCTCCCTGGAAACTATCATGGTTAATTCCTGATGAATTCATTCATGATGGGCTAACTGGCCTGTTTTCATTCTCATCGATCACCCTTCACTGGTGCTCCGCCAGCGTATCCCGTTAGCGCAGGCGGGGTTACCATACCATTTTCACCCATCAAAAAAAAATACACCTGGGATTCAACACGATGGTTTCCAGGGGGACAAGGTGGAGGTCGACCTGACAGGACATATTGCTAGTAGTGGGGCTGGCAGTTCGCATTATTGACAATCCAATCCCCCCCCCCCTCTGCTTAATATTAGCTGAATATGGAACTTATAAATTAAATTAAATTCAAAGTAAATAAAGTATTCTATTCTATATATTATAATAGAAGGTAAGATAGAAGGAAGGAGAGGAAGAGGGAGACCGAGACATAGTTGCATCAGGCAGATCAAGGAAGCAGTTGGTGTCGTGTCGTATCAAGAGGTGAAGAGACTCGCTGAAAATCGTATTGAGTGGCGAGAGCTTCGCCGACAAGAGCGCAGCTCTTAAATAGGATATACATACATACATTCTATGGCGCTCCTCAAACATATCAACATATATTCGTCATGTCACAGATAAGAAAACGTTAATTACCAAACCATAAACCGCTGTTGCGACCACCGCCTTAAATCTGTCTCGCTGGGATCACTCGACGCAACATCTTAACTCCGGGGAACCTCGTTTTAATCATGATAATGACGTCATCCGTCGCCATTTACACACTTTCTGCACCACTGACACTCGCCCCATCGCGGTACATCACATTGTAAGTAAACCATTGCTGCTCTAATAGGCAATAATTTATTTGAGTGCTACAGAAAGCCAGCAATGTATAAGCGGTAAGTGATACTGTAGCTGGGGTCCGTGTGACAGACGAGCTGTCAGTCAAACCCTTGAATGCGAACGTTCATCGCTACAGGTAGAATGGATACACGGGCGGATATTACCCCCGAAAACGTTTCAACCGACTTTAAAAATAAGGAGAAAATGTATACATATTTTTTTTATGTTTGTCACCTCATAACTTCATAATTTGTGAACCGATTTGGAAAATTCTTTTTTTATCTGAAAGGATATGCTTACAGATTGGTCTCAGAGAAATTTTATCAAAATCGGCTCAGTTGTTTTGTTTTTAAATCAAAGTAACTGGGTTTCGCCACAATTGAAGTAGTTTTTTTTTTTGGAACACTATATTAATTTTTTTTTTTTTATATTTTGACTATTCACTTAATTTCTGTTCTAATATATAGTATGGGGTAAATTTTTAGTTTCCTGTACGACTAACTATTTTAAATTCACACTGCAAAAATAAATCCAGGGGGGAAAGGGACTGTTAGTAATGGAGACTGAGAATCCCATTGCTAGCAATACACCCAACCAGGTCGACCTCCTCGCGGTTCCCCCTGGAAACTATCACGGTTAATTCCTGATGAATTCATCATGATGGGCTAACTGGCCTGTTTTCATTCTCATCTATCACCCTTCACTGGTGCTCCGCCAGCGTATCCCGTTAGCGCAGGCGGGTTTACCATACCATTTTCACCCATAAAAAAAAAATACACTATTGAGACTTAAGGCGACGAAAAATGAAGTTAAAAGGTACTTACGTACCCAATTTTTATTGTTTTGTAAGGTAAATATAGAAAAAAAATAGTGACAATGTGAGGGTACCCGCAGAGATTTTTTTTTAATAGATAATAATAGAATGGTAACCTCGCTTATGCTATTGGTATACGCGGGCGGGGCACCAGTGAGAGATGATAGGTGAGAATGAGAAGGCAGGTCAGTTAGCCCGCCGTGATAAATTTGTCTGTACGTTTGTGCACGCTAATCTCAGAAACGGCTTGACCGATTTGAACGCGGTTTCCACTAATGCGTTACGCTTTACTCCACTTATCATTCAGTGTTTGTTTTATTTCAATCGGTTCATAAATAAAAAGGTTATATCAAGAGGGAGACTTTGTACAAAAGTCGATTGCTTGGGTACCACTGTCCCATTCATGTTTCTACCGTGAAGCAGTTGTTGAAAAAAAAAATACATATAAAATGCTGTAAAACAACCGATCAGTTGAATTAGCTGAAACTTTATGAAGGTATCAGGTACGTAATTATCATTTAAGTATATAATACAATAAAAGACCGGATTCGAGAAGAGTTCCAATGGGAATTATATACGGGAACTACATAATTAGGAGCGGGCAACGCCGCGGGAAACGGCTAGTTTAAAATAGGGTCAGTTATTATTTACTTACTACTTAATTAC